GCGGCGCAAACTTGGGCCGCGGATGGGTTAAAAATGGACACAAAACGGACAAATGTCCGTTTGCTACCGCGCGCTAGGCCGTCTGGTTTATCCGTTTTTACCTCAAACGGACGGGTCCGGACAGGATATGGTCGCGCGGTGGAGTTGGCCTGATCGAATCCCTTTCTTTCGCGGCGGCGCGATCTTGAAACTGCCACCGCAATTGTGTTCCTGTAACGGTGGCAGCATCAGATTCGTTTTGCACTGTGATATAATGGCTTTGGCCGGCCGCATCAGCGTGGCTCCCCATAAGCAGTAGCAGTAGCAATAGCAGTAGCAGTAGACCCTGCGTCTGCATAGCCGCGCGCGTACCATACAAGAAGAACAATGTACGCAAGCAGAGAATAGCAGCGGCGGGGTCAACCTCCCCTTGGCCGGCGCGGGCTCCGTCTCCACGTCCCATTTCTCCCCAAAATCGAGCACAGGAGCACGAGACGGCCAGACGGCGGATCGATGGTAGTGGTGGCGGTAGTGGATACTCTGCAGGCAGCCTGGCAGAAAATCGGGCAGAGAATTTTAAATCCGTCAGTGGCCTCTCTCTCCCTTTCCTCCGACGACCAGGACGACGGCGGTAGGTCAGCGGGGCTTCGAGGGCGCAGCAGTGGAGGCCGTGCGTGCGTGCATCGTCCCTCATCGAGGACGCTGACGCCGCGGGCCCACCATAACCCCCTGTAGTAGTAGCGGTAATAAATGAAAGACTGTTGCTTTTTTACCCCACCAGAGGGCAGTAGTACTGCTTTTTTCTCTCTTGGCCAGAAGTCAAAGTCAAAGGCTGGGACTGTTAAACAACTGCTGCCGTGCGTTCGGGGAGAAGGGGAGGCCTTTTTGACCTGATAATTTTTATAGTGCTGCTTGTGCTTGTAGTTTAGCTCGTGGCGCCGTGCTGCTGTGCGCTGGCAATGCTAAAAGCCTAAATAAAGCTAGCGCGCGTCCATTTTGTTCAGTCAAGCAAGCTGACGCTGCTGCTGATGATTTGGTTGTTGGGCGTGTGATTGGGGGTATGACTGATTGGTGATGGATCATTGGCGCTCACCCCCGCTTTTGCGGAGTTTGTCTTCCGCTCTAGAGATCAGGGCGGCCATAGCTCGTAGCTTCGGGAATGTTAACCTCCTCAGTCCCAAAATAAATATCTCGAGCTTCATACAACTTTACACTAGCTCTAGTAAAAATTGGGACACCTATTTTGAGACGGAGAAAGTATATTATTTTGTCACATGCAATGCTCTCCCTAGAATTAGTATAGCCCCAAATGAATTTGGCTTTATTAGTACCTATAAAGCAGGGTGAAAGCATGTTTCAAGAGAGGAACGAACTGCGGCAGGCCCTTCCCTCTCCGCTGTCGGCGGCCCGAGACACCACGGCGTGCTTCTAACTCTCTCTTTAGATCCTTTGCGTTTTTTTGCTGCGGTGTCATCTGTTGTGTAGGCGGCGGGGCAGGGGTTGGCTTGATGTGGCATGCTCGATGGTCTTTAGGTGGTCGGTCATCAGCTCGCTGTGGCTCCTAACACCTGATTCCTTGCTTCCCAAGTGTCACTTATCGCTTTTCCTTTTTTTTTTGCTTTTAGCCTTTTTCTCATGCTCTTGACCTAGCAGTCCTCTTACTTACTTTCCTTGCGGTCCGAGTACTCATGGCATGACCTATGGAAGCACTCTCGTAATACCTTCGAAAAAAAGATGTGCAGCACAATAATGATTGCTCGATGTATTATGATTTATTGGTTCTCCTCGTATTTTGTGTCAAATTTTGACCATACATTTGACTAGCAAAATATAAGTTGTATGCCATAAAATTTATATTGTTGTATTCGTATATGATTTTTTCCCAATGATTCTATTTTTTGGTATATAATTTATTTATCTATTCTAGTTTAGTATAAGGTCATTTTTTTTTCTTAAATGGTCACCCAGAGGGAAAGGCTCTCCACCTTAATATATTTCAAAGGGTGTTGCAAGCGTTTCATACATCCACTAAGATAGGCGGGAGGAAAGGTGATCAAGCCACAATCTGGCATGATCCAGTAGTGTAGGCGTTTTTAGCCTATTAGACCAAATTGTAAGCTCCTCAATGATGAAGTGAATGGTGACCGAATGTGATAGACACACCATTAAATACCATTTGGTTACACACGTCCCAAATTTTCCAGAGCACAGTCAAGAGGACGAATTTACTGATGGCGGGAGGCAGATGGGAAGGCATTGTTGATGCCCAAAATTCGTTGGTTTGGTGAAATTTTAGCCCGCCAAAATCTTCCCACGTCCCAAATTTGGTCTATCGTCACCGAGTGTGAGCATCTTGGGAAACTTTGATCCGTAATGAAGTTCTTGAGGTGAAGATTTGATCGAGTGTTCAACCCACGAAGGTACAACAGCCAGCCAAAAACCTAGATCCTGTTTTTTACCCTTGATTGCCATATGGTCATCATCCCTGAATCCAGTAACGTCTCTATGTGTAAGCTGCGGGGTCAGTTGACTCTACAACTTTTGAGACAAATAGCCTAAGAACAACATACACTTACTGTATATTGTGAAGAATATTTTTCAAAAAAATAGCATTAACTCGACGGATTTTTTAGGCTGGCTTCGCCGCTGCCTGGATCAAGGAGGTCATCGGAGAGCAAGCTAGTAAAACCTAGATGGAGAAAGTACGGACATTTTGCTTGTACATTTGTGTTTCTAATCTGTATTGGGCTACAAAGAGAACGTTGCAAAGAGCATGTGCGAGCACCAGACCGGCAGGTCCAGTGTACTAAATCATTGTACTACTAGGTGCCAAATTCCACTGAAATTATACCTTCTAGCATGGCCACCCGCGTCTACGGATAGGTTGGTGGCGCGTCTCCCTTGTCCATACACACACACCGTGCGCGAGCACAAGCATGGATGCATGATGAAGTAGAGCAGCTCCCAAGACTCCAGGTCCACGTAACACATGATGAGACGATCAGAGGCTCAGAACTCCGCTGGCTTTTTTTTTTTTTGAGAGAGAGAAGAACTCCGCTGGCTTTTGGCCACGCATGCATGGTAAATTGAACGGGGTGAAAAGGAAAGGGCAAGGCCGGCTTGAATTTCAGATCTAACGACTGCTCGTCACTTCACCGGAGATGATGGGCAGACAAGGGTAAATGGACGCAAAATGGGGCGTGACGGTGAGATTTGGTGCCACATTTTCCAAATCGAGTCAAGGAGTCAAAAACAGGCCGGTCCTTAAGGGTACGTGCACGAAACCTCTTTCGCCTGTCATCGACAAGGTCGGCCGGCTCCGGTATGGAAGCGGTGACAGCACCGCGTAAGCGGCTTGTTTTGGCGACAGTTCCATGGTCCAAAGATCTCGAGGTAATTTTTTCCACAAATGGGTCGTACTTATGGCAACATTTATTACAATTAAAACGATGAGCAGACAAGGGTAGATAAATAAAAGCAAACGGGGTGTCACGGTGAAATTTGGTGCCAGATTTTCCAAACCGAGCCAAAGAATCAAACTGCGGCTCCTGGGTTGGCTCCTGGGTTGGCCCTTACGGGTACGTGCATGAAACCGGTATGGGAATGGTGATAGCGCCCGGCGTCGGCGGCTTCTTTTGACGACTAGAGTGGTTGTTCGGTGGTCCAGAGATCTGGATGTAATTTTTTTTCATAATTGGGATGGTTCGTACTTCTGGTTAACCTTTACAATAGATCTGGATCTTTCAAAAA